AGGAGGAAGGGAAAAAAAATCAGTATCCTTCATATGTGTGTTGGGGTGTGGGGTATGCATGTCTTCTCCTAAAATGTTCATAAAACTACAGACACTATGAAATTGGAATAGACACTTGAATGCACAGGTTCGGGTGTTGAGGTTTCTGAAGCTGCTGCAAGCTGTTGCAGAATGCAAATGAAAACTGCAAAAAGAACATTTGTTCTAAACAAACACTCTGGAGAAAATTTAAAGCTTAACTGTGCACTTTCTAAGGTTCTGGCTTTAATTCTATTCTTTAGCCATCCTCCACTCAGACTTCAGATAGCGGAAAACAGAGACCCAAGAAATTCAGTTCCTGGCATTCATGATTAATTTTGTTTGAAGTCAAAGTTGCAGAGCTTGGGGTCTCCAAACAGTCCCACAACCCAAGAGGAACTCAGCACAAGTTTTGCTAACATCAGTCATAATTCTGCCATCTAGGCTTTCGATTTTTCTTTCCAGATCAAGCTCTTCTGGTGGAAAAGGTTACTGCACAGAGCTACTTGTCACTGCCTCACAGTAGATCTACTGTGACTGAATGAGCCTTCAATCAAAACAAGCGAGAATAGCTTAAACAGTTTAAAGTTTTTGCCAAAAGCTTACTTGGACTGAAACACATTAGGGAACAATCAATGAACATCACCAGCAGTACTCCCCTATTCTGCCTGGACACCAGTTTCTGCCTACACAATTACTTACTGGTTTGCAGCTTTAATCACAGCCTGACTGCAAAGAAGTGATGAATTAATTATAAGCTTTGGGAAGAAGAATAATCCATTCCATACCCTATTTTCTTCAGCTTTAAAAGGAACTTTAAATGTAGCCATAGATATAGAAACATTCCAGCTGGTTCGTATTCAGGCTGTTTATTTGAAAGAACAAGTCTCGGAATAGAAACAGTGTTTTCCTACTACACAAAACCCCCCTGTCTAATCCTGCTGGCTAATTTAAATACAACTTCTCTCTCTGTCATTAAGCTAACTTTAGTATTAGCCTTTCAAATTAATTACAAAAGTAACATTAATAATTCAGAATTTCTATCCACTCAGCAGCTACCTCCTGCAACTGAGTTATCTGCAAATGCAGCTCTCTGATCCTGGATATCCACATGGCTTAAGCCATTCCCAACTGTTTGGCTGCACAGTCACAGCCTGCAAGTAACAATGACCACATTCTGCAGGCTGTGTACATTTATGCATGTCAGAAGCTGTTGGCAAAAGGCAAGGACAAAGGCAAGAAGCCTGCAAACAGAAACCAAAATAATTTAAATGTTATCCTGAAAGCGTATGGAGTTTTTTTGGTTTTAAAAAAGAAGCAAGCAGCACACTTCTAGTACCAAAGCATTACATAAGATTTAAAAATAACAACAAAAAATTTAAAAGAGGCAAGAAGGACTTCAGTAGTGGTCTTGCTCTTGTTTTTGAAACCAGAATATGCTTACTTTGGCGCAAATGACACAGTCTTTTGGCCTTCTATTGTACAAGAGCACTAGTAGGGAAAAAATGACATACCACTAGTGTGCTATTATTTTGGAAAGTACTTAACTGACCACTGTGCAAGGAAAAGAATATCTGCTACTTTTTAACATGGCAACTTAAGAACACAGAAAAAGGCTGATTCTTCTTCTTCTAACCAATTACTGTAGGTAAAATACATCATCCCTTAAAGCACATATGAGAAGTTATTTGCACTAGTATTTTTCTATGTCTAGTATATCTAGACATTTTTGTTGTTCTGTAAAAAGCAAGTAAATCCAAGAAAAAGAAGCACGGGGTCTTGGGTCTGGAAAGAGAGGAGCAGGATGGAAAAAAGGTGGCAGCTGTAAGAAACATGATTTCACATCTCCATTCTCACATTCTACCAGAGAGAAGTCTACCAAGTGCCTACAGAAATTCTTTGACTCGGCCAAATTTAAAACCATTACATGATCACATTCTGGAATAGTTTTTTCCTTCTAATCTTCCTACTTCATGGATCACAATGAAATGTTGTTGTATTTGTCAAGTAATTTCCATTCCATGTGCAACTCCCATATTGCTACTTTAAGGCAGAGAGTTGCCCCTACAGTGGAGCTGGAGATCTTCAGAAAGTATATGGGTAAACCAGAAAGATGGGCTACTTGCCAGGATTAAGCTTCTCTTTAAACTGAAGGGGAGCAGAAGGGGAAAAAATTATATATGCAGTGCCTATGGACAGGTAGCATGCAATGCAGTTGAGCCACTGGAATAAAGCATTGCCTGGAGAGTTCCTTTTAGGCATGCCTATTCATAGCAGAAGGCAAGGTGTAAAAGAAACATTTTTCAACAAATTTTTCTGAGCACAGGTATTCAGTATGTTAGACTCCTTAGAGAAAACATATATTTCTTTAATTGGGCCTTTTACTTCAAAAAAACTGTAACTGCAGTAAGAGAGAACTGTGGTTAGTAGAAGCAGTGGGTCAAAGTACTTCCTATTCATGTTCACTTCTGTGTCTGACAGGCTGATTAAAGATGCCTGCACCAAGCAGCAAGTTTCCTAAATCACTGGAGGCATAAGAAGAAAGTGTCCTACATAAGAGATTAGAGTTGGGCAACACAGGACTAATACTGCAAAGAAATAAGACTAATACTTTAAGTCTCCAGAGTGAACATTAATTTTAAGCAAGTGAAGGATGGGGAGAAGTGATTCAAAAGCAAAGCAAAGGAAAAAACCCCAACAAAACTCCACTTTATCTGTACTTAAAAATGGCAGCAGACAGCAAACACCCAGAAAATAAAAACTGTTCAAGATCACAGTTTGTGGCAGTGGTGCATTATATTTCTCCTTTTATTGTTTTTAGCTGTTTAGAAAATCTCCAAGCAGATTTCACAGCTGTCTTAACTCAGTGCACACTTTTCAGAAGAGCTCTAGGTGCTCTACAGAGATAAGGGATAAGTCTATTTCACAGATACAAGAACAACATAAATTGCAGGAAGGCAAACCAGCTCCTGCAGAATAATCTAGGGAGAGCAATACTG